ATGATACCAAAGTGCTTTCCAGTCATAAAATACTCCACAGGGATAGTTCATACACCTACTATTTCAGTTTACAAGTGGTACGGTAAATTATTTCCAGTATCAGTAACACAGTCCATGAGTTTTAATTCCCAGTCCTTCCCAAATCATTTTCCCATAGGCTTTATACTGCTGTGACAGGAGATCAATTTTTATCTCCCATAAGCTGAATCCAAATACATTGAAGAAAACTGAATGTTACATGACACTTAAAATGACATACTCCAACTGAGAATGAAATCTGTGACCACAGCTGGGTTTGGTAGTGTTAAATTGCATTTGCCTGTGGATGCTGTGCTGGATTCAGAGTAGGGCAGAAGCATCTATTTTTAAGATTGTTAGCAAATTTAAATCGAGTCTGTATTTAGCTTTTCACTGTAATTAACATTGAGGCTTGAGGCAAATCAAATCAGCCAAACAGAACAACCCCATGCATAATGCACTAGCTGGTCTCAGAAACCTGATTTCAAACCATTTTAGTTGAGCAGGAAAGGGGTCTTGCTCACATTTGTTTTCTTATTTTTGAAATAATAGTGCCCTCAACATAAGAAGGACATAGAGCTGTTGGCGAAGTCCAGAGGGGGCCATGAGGATGATCAGGGGCTGGAGCACCTCCCATATGGAGACAGGCTGAGAAAGTTGGAGCTGTTCAGCCTGGAGAAGCTGTGTGAGGACCTCAGAGCAGCCTTCTGGTATCTGAAGGGCACCTACAATGATGCCAGAGAGGGACTCTTTATCAGAGACTGTAGTGACAGGGCAAGGGGTGATGGGTTCAGACTTAAACAGGGGAAGTTCAGGTTAGATATGAGGAAGAAGTTCTTTACTGTGAGGGTGATGAGGCACTGGAATGGGTTGTCCATAAACGTGGTAAATGCTCCATCCCTGGCAGTGTTCAAGGCCAGGTTGGGCAGAGCCTTGGGTGACATGGTCTAGGGTGAGGCGTCCCTGCCCATGGCAAGGGGTTAGAACTGGATGATCTTAAGGTCCTTTCCAACCTAAACCATCCTGTGATTCTATGATTTTTTAGGGGTTTGGAGTTTTTTGGCACATTCAAAGTTACAGCTTCTGTAAAGAAGTAAGCATGGCTGAGTGGGGAAAAATGGAATGCCAGCCTTTTTTCTCTTTTATCCTGTTCTGTGTGTGAACCTTTTTCTTTACTTTGCTCTTTCATTGCCTTTTTTGGGTAAAAATTGACAATAACTTCCTCAAGTTTGAAAGTACATTTGGGCAACAGATACAAAGGAAAAAATCATCAGTAAACAGCACAGAAAGAAACAAAATTCCTGTGAAGGAGGTTGTTTTTCTTAATTAAAACAAGAAATTGGGACACTATGGATCCTACTGCTTCTCAGGTGGATCTGGAGCTTAAGTTCAGTTTGTTATTTACAATGAGGCAGGTTTAAACTGAATAACCTCACAAGACCTGAGCACAGGACATGACACTAAGGCCATCACTCTGAAGACTCAGAACCCAGCTGGAAGGGCAGCAAGCAAAGGGAGGTAAGCAGGATGAATCTTGCAATTTCTGATTCCCTAGGAAGTGTTTGTAGTTCTGTGGTGGTGTGATGCCTTGACAGGAGCTTCTGACACTGCTTGATGACACATGCACTGACACTGACACATGCACAAGAGAAGACAGAGTGTGATGGATGGAAAAAAAGTTAAGGCAATGTGGAGATGGGCAAAGAGACTGAAATTCAAAGAAATAAGGGTGCCACAAATTGTGACTAGGAAGAGATAACATTACCTCATTCGGGCCTTGCTTAACCTCTTCTTAAAAATCACTAGTGGATATTGGCCAGCTAATGTCAGTGAGCAGTCTATTCCCATGCTTATTTATCCAAATTCTTAGTTGCTGTCAATTATGCTCACTATGTCTTATGTGGGATAAGACCTGGGATTGTTTAGCCTCAAAAAGAAAAGGCTAAGGGGAAATCTTATCAGTGTGTGTAAACGCCTGATGGGAGGATGAAAACAAGATGGGGCCAGACTCTTCTCAGTAGTATTCAGTGACAGGACAAGAGGAAATGGGCACAAACAGAAATAAAGGAAATCCACTTGAAGTTAAGAAAAAACTTTTTCACTGTGAGGGAGGTCAAATACTGGCACAGGCTGCCCAGAGTGGCTGTGGAGTCATCATCTTTGGAGACAGACAAAATCCCACTGGACATAATCCTGAGCAACCGGATGTAATTGAGCCTGCAGTGAGCAGAAAGGTTGTACCACAGGTTCCTTTCAACCTCAACCATTCTATGATTCAGCGACAGTGAACAAAGAAACAAATTATTTTTGTCCTCTTTCCAGCAATTTTCATGTACTTCCAGACTGTTTTCCTGTTTCCCATGAGAAACTAGTCAAAAGAATCTTAATTCTTCAAATCATAGAATCATAGAATAGACTCATAGAATAGTTAGGGTTGGAAAGGACCTTAAGATCATCAAGTTCCAACCCCCCTACCATGAGCAGGGACACCTCACACTAAACCATGCCACCCAAGGCCTTGTCAAACCTGGTCTTGAACACTGCCAGGGATGGAGCATTCACAACTTCCCTGGGCAACCCATTCCAGTGCCTCACCACCCTAACAGGAAAGAATTTCCTCCTTATATCCAATCTAAACTTCCCCTCTTTAAGTTTTAACCCGTTACCCCTTGTCCTATCACTACAGTCTAATGAAGAGTCCCTCCCCAGCATCCCTATAGGTCCCCTTCACATACTGGAAGGCTGCTATGAGGTCTCCACACAGCCTTCTCTTCTCCAGGCTGAACAGCCCCAACTTCCTCAGCCTGTCTTCATACAGGAGGTGCTCCAGTCCCCTGATCATCCTCGTGGCATCCTCTGGACTTGTTCCAACAGTTCCATGTCCTTTTTATGTTGAGGACGCCAGAACTGCACACAATGCTCCACGTGAGGTCTCACAAGAGCAGAGTAGAGGGGCAGGATCACCTCCTTTGACCTGCTGGTCCCACTCCTTTTAATGCAGCCCAGGATACGGTTGCTTTCTGGGCTGCGAGCGCACACTGAAGCCGGCTCATGTTCATTTTCTCATCAACCAACACCCCCAAGTCCTTCTCTGCAGGGCTGCTCTGAATCTCTTCTCTGCCCAACCTGTAGCTGTGCCTGGGATTGCTCCGACCCAGCTGTAGGACCTTGTACTTGGCATGGTTAAACTTCATGAGGTTGGCATCAGCCCACCTCACAAGCGTGTCAAGGTCCCTCTGGATGGCATTCCTTCCCTCCAGGGTATCAACCGAACCACACAGCTTGGTGTCATCGGCAAACTTGCTGAGGGCGCACTCAATCCCACTGTCCGTGTCAGCAACGGAGATGTTGAACAAGACCGGTCCCAACACCAATCCCTGAGGGACACCACTCGTTACTGGTCTCCAGCCTGACATTGAGCCATTGACCACAACTCTTTGTGTGCGGCCATCCAGCCAGTTCTTTATCCACCGAGTGGTCCATCCATCAAATTGATGTCTCTCCAGTTTAGAGACAAGGATGTCGTGTGGGACAGTGTCAAACGCTTTGCACAAGTCCAGGTAGATGACATCAACTGCTCTACCCCTGTCCATCAGTTCTGTAGCCCCATCATAGAAGGCCACCAAATTGGTCAGGCAGGATTTCCCCTTAGTGAAGCCATGCTGGCTGTCACCAAGCACCTTGTTGATTTTCATGTGCCTTAGCATGCCTTCCAGGAGAATCTGCTCCAAGATTTTGCCAGGCACAGAGGTGAGACTGACTGGTCTGTAATTCCCCAGGTCATCCATTTTCCCCTTCTTGAAAATGGGGGTTATGTTTCCCTTTTTCCAGTCATCGGGAACTTCACCTGACTGCCATGATTTCTCAAATGTGATGGCCAGCGGCTTCGCAACTTCATTTCCCAGCTCCTTCAGGACCCGCAGATGGATCTCATCAGGACCCATGGACTTGTGCACGTTCAGATTTTTAAGATGGTCTTGAACCAGTTCCTCTCCTACAGTGGGCCCAAGGTCTTCATTCTCACAGTCTCTGTGTCTGCCTTCCAAGACTTGGGTGGTTTGGTCAGAGCCTTTGCCAATGAAGACGGAGGCAAAGAAGTCATTCAGAACCTCAGCCTTCTCCAAATCCTGTGTAGCCAGTTCTCCTGAGAGCTTCCTGAGGGGGCCTACATTCTCCCTAGTCTGTTTTTTTATTTGCTATGTACCTGTAGAATCCCTTCCTGTTGTCCTTAATATCCCTAGCCAAGTTTAACTGGGCCTTAGTTTTCCTAACCTGGTCCCTAGCTTCCCGGACAACATCCCTGTACTCTTCCCATGCCGCCTGTCCTTGCTTCCACTTTTTATAAGCCTCTTTTTTCATTTGAATTTTCCTCAGCAGCTCCTTATCCATCCAAGGAGGTCTCCTGGCCCTCCTGCTGCACTTCCTTCTAGTTGGGATGCAACACTCTTGAGCTTGTAGCAGGTGATCCTTGAATATCAACCAAGAGTCTTGGGCCTCCATGCCCTCTAGGCTATATCCCATGAAACCTTATTAAGGAGGTTCTTGAGGAGGCCAAAGTCTGCTCTCTTGAAGTCCAACGCAGCAAGCTTGCTGCACGCTCTTCTCACTGTCCTGAGGATCTCAAATTCAACCATCTCGTGATCGCTGCATCCAAGGCTGCCCTGGAGAGTTACATTTCCAATGGTTCCTTCCCTGTTGGTGAGCACAAGGTCAAGCATGGCACTTCTCCTTGTCAGCTCCTCTATTACTTGCAGAAGGAAGTTGTCTTCCACACAATCAAGGAACCTCCTGGATTGCTTGTGCCGGGCCGTATCGTCCTTCCAACAGATGTCAGGGTGGTTGAAGTCCCCCATGAGAACAAGGGCCTGCGAGTGTGAGGCTTTTCCTATCTGTCTATAGAGTGCTTCATCCGCAGGTTCTCCTTGATCAGGCGGTCTGTAACAGATCCCCACAGTAATGAGTATAAATCATAGCTTCTAAAATTCAGATTATACTGAATAAAAACAGGCCTGTTTTTCAGTTGGTAGTTATTGAAATGGTTGTATCAAACTGAATATAGCATTCCCACTGAGGTCTTACTCACAGTAAAAGGATTACTGCATAGGTCTCCTGTATAATGCTCCTGTGAATTCATTTTAGTATAACTGGATTATTTGACTGATTTGTTCCTGGTTGCTTGATCAATTTATGATCTGGGATTACCCCAGAATTCCTGATTATCCAGCTGTTCCTGAGCTAACACTGATGAGGACGATCATTCCTCTTGCCAGTAATTTCATTCATTTCAAATAACTTCTTCAATTTGCCACAATAATCTGATAATGGAATCCTGACACCCAGTGGGCTCTCAGGCCCTTCTAACTCAATAAGTACACTTGTTATTCCATTATTGGGGCCATCGGTAAAGACTAACTCAGGAGTTAACCATTAGTAACCACTCTGTGAAAAAACCTTCCCAACTATTTGGGACTGTGGAGGTGTTGTAACTGTACCCTTTTTCCTTAGATAGTTATGGGGAAACCATAAGAGACAGGATCAAAGGTCATATTAAGTACAGACATACACTTTTGCCCAGGACTGGCATAAGAATAAAGGGTATTGATTCCATCTTAAATTGATTGTGTTAACTGGTTCAGATTTCACTGACATGTGCAAACAGTAGCAAATTAGAAGCCCAAATACTTTTTCTGCTTTCTGGGACTTCTGTTAGTATTCAAAGATCAATACTTACTTCTCCAAGGTTATCATGTCTCCACCTGGTCCTACTGGATAGATGACATAGTGTAGGCTCCTGCAGCAACAACACATGCTTGTGATTCTTCCCTTCAGTAATTACTCAGAGATCTATTTCCTCCTGCATTCTGTATGGTGTAATGGTGTATATGGCAAGTTTATGATGCCTTAATAAATGAAATGGGGTCTTGCAATATTTTGTATTCCTCTTCACACAAAGAGGTCATTGACTATTTATATGAAGTTTCTAGAAAATGTTAAGGTTTTGTTCAGGAATGGCATTGACCTTTTCTTAGAAACATCTCCTGGTAAAGCTGAGTCATCTGTGTAGCTATCAGTCACAGTGTTACAGTTCTCTCATTTATCACACATAGTCATACACCTAGGGTGTAAAGCAATTACAGATATACAGTATATATATTATTCAAATGTATATATATGTTGTAACATAATTAAAATGTCAAACAAAATGAAAAGCACATTAGTAACTACCAAGTGTTAAATGTGGCTCTGATTCCACCTTCGATTCTCACTGGCGTTCCCCTTCATCAAATGCAAAACCTGACTGACTCCAATGACAATCCAGAACTTCCCTGGTTTGTCTGAGGTATAGTTTAATTTTTTCATAAAATATAGAGCTTGCCTTCATTTATCTGCATATAAATATGAGCACAAACTCTTTCACCATAGCAGTTTAAAACATTTTACACATTAATATAATCAGGCTATAGCACCTCCAATAGTAGGGGAAATACTACCTTTAGTTATATATGCTAGAATGAGGTACAGAGAGCTTAAGATACTTATCCAAGGCCAGGCAGATTGGTCAAGGATTCAGACTTCCTGATTTTCAGTCCCACATCTATATTCTTTCCCTAGGTTTTACAATGACGTATGTGTCATTGCTCAAGAAATGCAAAGCCAGCAATAAACACTTCTAGCCTCTCTATCATCTCTCCATCAGCAATCATCATCTATCCTAGTTATCCAAGTATAAAACATATCCTCTCACAGGAAAAGAAAGTTCTTTTAATCTTCTGGTTTAGCCCTTTGAGAGTCATAAGAATTCTAATTACCGGTACAGTACTTAATGAGCATCAAGAGCTTGAGGATTGCAGAATCTATACAGGACTTTCTTATCCACATGCCGCAGATGAAGAAAAGCTGATAGTCAGTTTTGACCTGAATTATCTCTTAGCAGCTAGAGATTCTGCTCTTGGGAGAAAAGGATTCAGTGTCCCTCTTAGAACTTCATACATTCCTACTCTTTAATACTTATATGTTTATCTGCAGTAAAAATACAGCTTTATGTAGAGGTTGGGGTTCTGTAAAGATGAGTTTTACTTGAAAGCAGTGAGTATGAATGTCAGTAAGGTTTCATTATGGCTTTAGATGTCTACTAGAATAACTTCACTAGCAGTGTTAAAAATAATCAGCTCTCCAGCCAGCTTATCTGTGCTGTGAATCTGGCTGAGCTACAGCAAGTCTTACAGAAGCCTATCCTCACTATTCCAGCTTGTGTAATTTGGGAAGGTGATATAATGGTCACTGGAAAAGCTCTTTTGGACGGCACCTCTGCGTCTTATCACAGGGTTTTGCTGCTCCAAGTCTGGATGAGCACATGGAGTCCTTACCACTGAAACAAAACCGGAAGATGCACTCCAGGACTGGTGCTCCAGTTGCGGAAGGGACAAAACTAGATCAAACCTTAAACTCAGAGTGAATTGCCAAGTGAATTAAATTCTAAGCCTAAAAACTTAGGCTGTTTCTGTTCAATAAGGACTAGGCAAGTTTACTATTACTCTGGTTACTGTTATTTGGAGTCCAGTTTCATAAACACTATTTTAGAAGGTTATTCTGCATCTGTATTAGTTCCCTGAATTCAGTTCACAATGTGCTGCACAAATGCTTGTGGCTGTACAGGGCAGGCATGGTACAGGAATAGAAACACACAGCTGGGAAGGAGGAAATGATTATTTAAGCTGCCGTTAGCAGAATTGTTGCTGAATGTCACAGCATGGCAAACCTTACTCTGCAAGTTCACTCTGGAACATCTTCTGGGGCAAGGAAAGAATTTTACCCCAAATCCACTTATTGCACAGACTTTTGCTGTAACTATATAAATACATCTGCTATTTAAGAAGCATGTTAGTCACAATATAGAAAATGAAGTCAACTGGAGTGATAGAAATGGTTTGTATTAAAAATGTAATAACTGGAGTACCACAATACGCTTTCCATCACAACTTGGTAGTGCTTAAAATCTTGGAGCGCTGAAAGCACTGGCTTCCAGGCTGATCAATAATGTCTCATTAGCTTGTGTTCCATCCTTTAAACCTCTCATTCTCTCCTTGTTCCTTGTCTTTTGTAATGGTTCTAAATCTCTGGAATGTGAATAGGCATTCCACACTGGCTTTGTAAAGTATAGCACATCAGAGGTCCTTATCCATAACAAGAGTTCCTGGGCACAAGAGTAATGTAATCAATGCATAATAATTAATAACTATTGTACAAAAGAGTAAGTGCCATGAGAAAGGGGAGCAAGAGGAAAGCAATTTTAAAAGAAACCAAACCCAGGGAAGGTAAAGCTTATCCTGCATTTATTCCCATCACGTTCAACTGACAAAGATTTTTGCAGTGAATAACTAATAAATTCCTTTTTCATAGCACAGCCAAAAATGGGGTGAAAAGTGACAGAGAAATGTAATAACACTTCAGTACTTGGCAACTATTGCTATTCTTCAGGCAATACTTGATGCTCAGCCTCAACAGTATACACAACAGGGGGAGTTAGTTATATGAAGAATGGAATACATCTGTTTCGCGATTTTACTACCAAATCGCTGCAATACTCAGAGAAACTGAGTAGTCATAAGACAGAAAATAAGCTAAATCTTTTGGAAAAATCTAGATTCAATGAACCCCAATAGCATTATAAAGATAACTGGGGCTTTCTTCTGTAATATTCCATCCCATTTTTACTAAATGTATTCTGCTCCACTCCCAAGACATGGAGTTAAATACTGATTTGTAGCTGGAACCACCAGCAAGACAAAGTTGGTTTTGGAACATTTCCATAGGAGCCCCAACTGTGACCTCATGCCACCCTAATAAAGATACATATGGTTGTGAGGAAGCCTGGTTTAGAACCACCCACACTTAAACTTTCTGTGATCAAATATAGCTCTAGAAAGGAAAAGTCTCTTGTAAGGCAAATGTGCAAAAACCCCACACTTGGGAAAAATGAGTCTGCTGTACAGATTTCCTCAATACTTTCTAGCAAATGGGATTCATCAACCTTTAATCAATGAAAAGACAGAAAGTGGAGTAAAAAATTCAGTCTACTTGGTGAAGGATTTTCTGTGCCTGGTCTACTTTGTCCACTTCTAAAACCACTGAAAACAGTAGGCCCAGGTCATCAAAGGAGGAAAAGCAGGTAGAATCTGTTTTAAATTAGCTGTGGTGTTTATTACAATGGCCATGAAGAGCAGCCTGTCAGCTTGGAGCCTCCTCCTTTGTCAGTCTCCTTTACCTTGGAGAAATGAGGAATTAAATGTGGCCTTAGTATACCATAAACAGTATTTTAACTGATGAAGGCAGATCAATAACACAGTAAGGAAGCTTTTCATGTGTCATTGTGTTAGCTGGATAGACTGCAAAGTGAAGTTTGCAATTGTAGAATAAAAGAATTGTAGGCAGTCAAAACATTCTCATTTCTTTTTGCAAATGGTCTCATTGATTTGATCGTAACAGTAAGTGCAGCAGAGGGAAATCAATACATTACCCACAAGCCATGTAGTACGTTGCAGATGGTAACCACATACACACGGCTTTGAAGGGAAAATGTTATTGTTTTCCTCTGTGCTCAGGGAAGATTGTGAAGTCAGTGGAAATTTCTCATTGGCAAGCAAGAGGTTTTCATGGGGAAGGAGGAAATACCAATGTCCCTCTTCCTTTAGAGATAACAACTATAGCTGCCATATGAAAAAGTTATTTCAGTGGAAAGAAAGCTTAAAATAAAATCGGGCAGAAATCTGTATGCTGAACTGCTTTCCCTGGGTTTGAGAAAGTTGTCATTTTCTTGCCAAAAGCTGATATTCATGCCAGTGGTTTTGTATTTTTCTGTTCTAAAACACAACATACAAGTATTTTTCAGAGTATTTAATACTGAAAGTACATTTACAGGTACTTCAGAAGTATCCTGGTGGCAACTGTTGGCTGTCACAAACAAATCTCTTTTTATCTGCTATACTGCCAATGTGAAGAACCTACTGTGTTACTTTTGTTCTGAGGAGGCTCCTTCTCAAAGCAGGCTTTTCAGAGTGTCTGGTTAATACGTGACACAGCCTCTTTAAAAGCACATAAAAGCCTTAAAAAACCCTATTTCAGAAGAGGAAGGTAACCCAAGAGTCCTTCTCACATGATAATTTATCAACCATCCCACACAGCTGGGGAGCTATCAGGTTAGTAACTGTGTGATGAAGAATAAGGGAAATTAAAGAATCTGACTGGAATATTGTAGAAGCCCTGATCCATGCATGTGATTTAAGATATTAAGAGCATAGCATCATGAATTAATTACTCACATTCCTGTATTAGTAGGAACACATTAGAACCATCTGAGTTACAGAATCAGGCAAACCAGTTTGTCTTGTCTGCAAGATAACCAGCAGGCATAACAGGAGGCTGAATGGGGACAACTGAATGGAGAAACCTAAGCTCAGTTAAGGAAGCATAAAGGAAGCATATGGAAGCATATGGGAGGTGCAAGTGGGTAGAGACTACTCAGAAGGAATACAGATGCATTGCCTGGGCACACAGGGATGCAAATAGGAATGACAAAGCACAGCTAGATTAAAAACTGGCAAGGAGTATGAAGGGGAACAAGGCAGGCTTCTATAGTTACTCTGGCATCAAGAAGATGACCAAAGAAAACTTAAGCTCAATGCTGAGCGGGGTGAGGACACAGAAAAGGCCGAGGCCTTTTTTACCTCAGGTTTTACTGGATGATCTGCTTTCAGGCCTCCCTTGCCTCTGTGTCTAAGAGCAAAGGTAGGCTACAGAAGTTCTACCAGCAGTAAAAGATGACTGAATTAGGGGTTACTTGAATAAACTGACATCAAATAGTCCTTGGGACCTGATGGGATGCATCCAGAAGTGCTGATGTCCCTGCAAGATTGGTTTTTGTCATCTTCATGGCACTTAATCCTTTAAATAACTAGACTAAATATACCTCCAATAAGCAACAAGGCAGCAAAAATTCTTTCCTCTCATTGTGGAATAGATGGCTTAACCAGTCAGGTGAAAGCAAAGCAGCAAATGTTCATAGTATAAAATCTCCACCCACTGCACCTGTGAGTTAGTATCACTAATAGCAAAGGAGTAAGCTACCTATAAGGATATTGTGCAGGCTGACAGGAGTGCTTCGAATACATTATAGGTGTATTCACTGTCAAGGAAGATTTTTCTGATGGAAAGCTAGCAGGAGCATGAAAGCCAAACAAACAAAAATGCTCTACATCTTCTCAATCATAGACATTTAGAAATAAAGATCCTCACACCCTCCACAACATCATTCCCAAGATGGGTATTATTCATCCGAGGAAGATGTGTATTTGTTCAATCTATCCAGACAATTGTACTTCCAAGCAGAGAGTGTTGCTAAATCAGCACTTCACATTAACATTTGAACTTGAAATCAGGTGATACTGAGAGTGAGAGCCCATGACTAATCGTCAGCCTCTGCATTTCCTCACCATTAGCTATTGACAATGAACTGCAAAAATGAAAAGCTCCCTTTCCAAGTCTTCTTTTTATATGCTAACTGAAGCTGACAGGCTCACAAACACACTGACCAGCTGTGAATCTGTGGAGAGCATACAGAATGTGAACAGAAAACTACCTAAGGGAAAAAAAAACAAACCAGCAACCCAATCAAAGGGTGAACAAGAGTGAAACAAAATCTGTCCTTCAAATCTCTGCAAGGAGCACCCAATTATTTTAATGGCAACTCTCTGCATTACACAACACCAAACCATTTGGAAAATGCATGCAGAATAGAGATGATATTGCAAGTGGCAGTGAGAAATACTCTAGCAAGATAGTGCAGACTGCATACACTTAAAACGCTTTTCTAGACTGGATGCTTCGAAAATCAAGCTCTTGCGTGGGTCCTGAATATTAACATTTAGTAAGGACATTTCTCATTTCTTAATGTCCTGTCAACACATGATGTTAAGGTATTTTCTAGTCCTAACCATTCTATATTCTATAACTCATATATGTATGAATAATACACTAATAGAGAAACATTGTATGAGAGAGAAACCAATCTTTTCAAAGAATGGCTTCAAAATAGTGCTGTTCAGTAGTGTGTAATTTAATAACAGTGAATCTATTTGTGATTTGAAGAGGCTGACCTCTGCAGCAACCCATACCTCTCTGTCAGCAGTCTTCAGTGCTCTCAGCCAGAGTTGTGTCCAAAGGAACTTTTGATTTGGCATGATAAAGGGAAGCAGAAACTTCTGGCAGGGGGATGAAATTCCTAAATTGATCTGCCACTGACAGAACAGGCTCGTTCTGGAAATCTCTGCCCTCAGCTGCTAGTTCCCATGCCCCAGCTGGAGATTCCCACTGGCCTGTTGTGTGACAAATGCCAAGTGAACTGTTGATGGAACTCCTCTGAGTGGGTGGAGTCCGTAGCAGGGGCAGGACATCTTTCTTAATGTCATTTTCATACTGATTATCATTTGTTCTTACAGGACAATATTAATCACCTTAGTTAAGTCTTTATAGGTTTCACAGATAATTCGATTAAAGTCAACTGCTGACATTTGCACAATGAAATGAAGGAATGGTACCACTGCATAATGTGTTTATTTACTCTGTCCAGGAAAAGACAACAAAGTATAGGGGCACGTATGTACAACTGACAGCTAAAAGAGATTCTTCTGCCCAAGGGAACGTCTCAGAAATCTTCCTCACCTCCCATGTTAGTAAATCTGTATCACTGTAATTCTCAAATTTCTTTTTTCCTTAAGGTTTCACACATCTCTCTGTGAAAAGGGGATTGCTGCAGCTACTGCCACTAAGACGCCTGCTGCCTGTGACTCATTTAACTGACTGCTGTCCCTCTGCCCTTCTTATAGTGCAAGGCAGAGAAGAGAGAGAGAAGAGCAAAACTCAAGAATCTCTGTTAGCAGACAACTGCCAGCTTTCTTGCAGGGTCACAGAGGGACTTCTCTCCAGCAGAAGATGCACAAAGGGTTGTACTGAACTGAGCATTTGAACAACCTGAGGCTCTTCCTGCTCCTCATTCTTCCCTTTAGACAGCTAAAACTGAAAGACGGACACTGATTTCTTTGCACACCAGGAGCTTTCAGTTAGAGACAAAAAATACATCCCATTGCAATCATAGCTCTGTTCTCCACTTATTTGACCTGAAATTTCACAATGCCTTCTCCACTTGGGATAGGCTTCATTTTATGGCACTATAAATGTATTGATTTACAAGTGAGGAAACAGCACTGCATTGTTCTGGTAGGAAACAAGCCATGGATCAATCCATCCCTGTATTGCATTTCTCTGTATGTTTGATGCAAAGTCAAGAAGTAATTAATTCAAAAGAGATCTAGTTATCAAAATGCTGAGAAGCCATTCAAACTTTTCTTGCCCAGTACTCACAGGAGTGATCTGAATTACTAGCAGTCTGCCAATGGCACTGACTGCCTCATGCAAGAACTGGGCAGGACAGTGCTACACTGGAAGCCATAGGGCATTCACGATGTGTAAGCATGTTTAAAATCAGGATCTGTAGCTAAGAACAGTGCATCTTTTGTATACCTGCCCTGGGGAAAATGTTAAGAGATACCAGCCTCTATTATCAAATCAAATAAGAGTTCAGTTCCATTCATGTTGTTCCTATACTATTTAAGTATACTTAAAAAGCAACATCAGAGTTCAGACCTTATATTTGAAAGAAAACTCTTAAACTGCATTCAAAATAATATAAATCCAGTATAGTCATTAAAAAATAAATTCTTTTAAGAAGGGTAGATGGAAATAAATGAAAATATGGGAAGATTGGTTTTCTGGTATGATGTAAAACTTGCGTGCACCATTAATTTTCATGATATACTGAACATATTTTTTCAACAAACCAAGATGCACCCAAATGGTGGTAGTCACGATGGGATGCTATTTGTCTATGTCCATTTCTGCTTCAGTTTTATAGGGAGCGGGACTTCAGCCTCTATAAGCAAACAAAAGCTCTGGAAACCTGTCGACAAGCACCCAGTAAGCCTGTAGCAGTGACAGGCTTGCTGGTATGCTTTCCAGTGTCGCCTGGAGAGGAGACAGTGTGTAACTAACTGTACTATACTAATATACCAGGAGGTGCTCTTCTTCGTATAAATATTTAAAATCATGAGTGCTGGGGTATTAAGATTTCCTATGATCACTGTATCGGCTCCTGCCTGTTTCCACCAATTATTAAAGTTGCTCCCTCTTGGGGAAAGCAAGAAAACTTGGGGGACGCCGGCTTGCTTGTTATCACCTCGCCTGTAGTGGCCGGCTATGACCCCCTGCGGCTCTGCGGCTTGTGCTGCTGAAGGCTTCCAGGCCCTGCGGGGCTCCGGTACCCCTGCACAAATCGAGAGAGGGCCAGAGGGGCCGGGGACAGCCAGGGCCACCGGGGAGCCGGACGCGGCAGCGCTGAGGGGCCGGAGAGCGCTCCTCCCTCAGACTCAGCCCCAGGCGCTGCCGGCACAGGGGTTATCACAGAATTATTTACGTTGGAAGGGCAGTTAAGATCTCCAAGTCCAACCACTCCCCAGCACTGCCAAGGCCACCACTAAAGCATATCACTGAGGGCCTCATATACGCAGTTTGTGAACGCTTCCAGAGATGCCGACTCCACCACTGCCCTGGGCAGCCTGTTCCAACGTCTCACTACTCTTTCGGTGAAGAAATTTTTCTCAGTATCCAGTCTAAACCTTCCCTGGTGCAGCTTGAGGCTGTTTCCTCCTGCCCTATCACTTGTTAGTTGGGAGAAGAGACTGACCCCACCTCACGACAACCTCCTTTCAGATAGCGAAAAGGTCCCCCTGAACCTTCTCCATACTAAACCCCACCCCGGTCCCTCAGCCCTATCCTCACACACTTGTGCTCCAGGCCCTGCACCGGCTCCGTTGCCTTTCTCTGGACCCGCTCCAGTACCAGCTATCCCCGCCACAGCACCTCAGCCCTGCCCCTGCCCGCTCCTCACTGTGGCCGTGCAGACCCGGACCGCCTCCCTCCACGGGGCTGCGCTGAACGGAGCAGCGGGCTGAGGGGAGCGGGAGCTCCGCCCCTCGCCCTCCGCAAACCCCGCCCCTGTTCCGGGCTGCGCCAATGAGAGCCCTGCGAGAGCGTCACGTGCGGAGAAGGAGGCGGGGCCGGAACCCCGGGGGAGCGAGCCTCGGCAGGAGCGGTGGCGGCGCTGGGACTCGGCGGGCTTAGTGTGGCGGCGCGCGTGCGCGCACCCGCGCTCTGCTCGGGAGCGCGCCCCGGCCCTCCACACCTCCCTCCCACCCGCCCCGCCGCGTTCCTCCCGGCGCGCACGGGTGCGGAGCGGCGGGAGCGCCCCGCTCGCCCTCCTTCCCGGCGGTGTGCGAAGATGGAGCTGTTCCAAGCCAAGGACCACTACATCCTGCAGAGCGGGGAGCGGGCGCTGTGGTGCAGCCGGAGGGACGGCAGCCTGCAACTGAGAGCCGGTGAGACCCCGCCGCTGGCGCTGCTTCCTGTGTGGGGAAGGGCCGGGGTCCCCTCGCCCGGGGGGGGGGCGGTGGCTGAGAGCGGCCGGGGAGAGGGTCGCTGAGGGAAGGGCAGTGGCGGTGCCGAGCCCCGCTGAGGAGTGGCGGGGCTCTGTAGTGGTGCCGCTGGTGGGTCCGGTGGGGCTCAGCCTCCCGCGGGCTCGGGAACCGCCTCTGCCCCATCGCCCGCCCCGCGGAGGGTGAGCCCAGGCTGCTGCTGGCCCCGCGCTGCCCGCAGCCGTGCCCGCGGGGCGGGAGGTCACGCGTGTCTTGGCCCCGCGTGGAATTCCAATGAGGAACTGGGGTTTTATTGTACCATGTGCTTGTTTCTGTGTAAAATCAAGTAGGGCTGCGTCTGCCACCCCCCCCTCCGTGGGGAGCCTGGGTGGTTCCTGATATTGGAAATGGATCTGGGCACTCTGAGGGGAACATCACCAAACCAGAAGGGCCATCTTGTGCTGGTGTCAGCCTTACGTAAGGGATGCTGGCCACTGTTCCCGGCAAACGGTGATTGCGTCTTGGGGCAAATGTGTCCCCGTGTCTCCTCTTTGAGGAGAGGTTGAGCAGGGCTCTACACTTCTAAATTGCTCTCAGATTTCATTAGTGTAAGTGATGGTTACAGAGGGGGTTAAGTGTATCTGTATCAGGCTGAAGAGAAGGAAGTGGGATCAAACACTGTGGATTTGTGTTAACAAAAATGTTTGCATAGGGTTGCTTTACAGAAATCTTGAAACAATGGTAATGGTGATACCCTATCCTGGAGGTGAGTCAGTAAAAGTGTCTATAAAATGAAATACCATCCTTAGAATCATCGAATCCCAGACTGGTTTGTGTTGGAAGGGAGCTTAAAGCTCATCCAGTTCCAACCCTTGCCATGGGCAGGGACACCTTCCACTAGAGCAGCTTGCTCCAAGCCCCTGTGTCCAACCTGGCCTTGAACACTGCCAGGGATGGGGCAGCCACAGCTTCTCTGGGCAACCTGCGCCAGTGAAATCAGCTTGCTTTGACAAATAGATGTACCTTAGATGTAAAGGACTACAGTGTACCTGCTTAGAACTTAAAAGTACTCTAAATAGCTGGATGTTTCACCAAACAAAAAGCCTTCTAAATTTGGGATCCATTTACGCTGATAGAGCCAGTTCAGCATGCATATGACCAGGTTGGCTATCTGAGCAGAGCACGCTTCATGATCCCTTTCATAAAAGGCTGGAAAAACTTTATACATAAACATCAAATACCATTGTTATCTGTGTTTATCCAAAGAGCTGTTTTTCAGACTGGTCTGCCTTGTGTTATGGTTTTATACTTGGGTCATGTCTTGTCAGTGCAAGTGTTTTGCATCTCTTAGATAAAATTACAGTCTGCCTCAAGTTAATGTGACTTATTCTTGTCCAGCAGTTTCACTTACAGTTGAAAGTCCAGTAATCCTTTGGCTTATACATCACCTTACAGAATACTTGATGTTAACCTAGCAAACAATACTGCTAGTCAACAAAATGTGTAGTTTTGTGTATGTGTGTGTGGGGAAGCCTCCAGGTTTAGATTTGTAAGTTATAGCCATCTGCAAAAGCATAAAAGCTCTTGCTTGACCCAGGCTAATGAAAGCACAAAACAGTGAACTGTAGTTATGGCCATCAGTGTTTGAAAGCTTTAATTTTAAAAGTATCAATTTTTTGATACTTTTATCAAAATAATGGAAAATCACGAAATTTTATTTTTTTATCAATTTTTAACATTTTATCAGAATCACAAAACCAAAATCACTTGTTTCATGCAGCCATTGCTGTGTTTTTTTTTAATACATTTTTGTGTTCTCAAAGTCCATGAACCTCATGGAGGCTTTGCCAGTGCCCAGTAATGCCTCTGCTGCTCAGCAGCATTCTGTCCTTAGCTTTCCTTTAGGTTTTCAGCCAGTATACATGTGATCCCTGACCTACAGATGAATGAAAGGTAACATGATATCAAAGTAGCTTAGTCTGCTTGAAACTCTTGACATTAGTCACCCTTTCCTGTTTCAGTGTGTTTGTAGTCTTCTTTTTCCAACGATGCCTGTGGATCATCTTCATGGAAGTGGGCTCTAGGGCTGTGAAATGAAATACCTTAAAGTGTTGAAAGCAAGCCCAAGACGGAAATGGTTCTCTGACAAGAAGTCTTTCTTGGCTCAGTAGCTCTTGCATGTATGAAGACAAAGCTGGATATCCTCAAGTTTACAATTTTATTACAGGTTAATTTCATTAATCAAGGCCACTGACCGGAAGTGAGTAACTGGATTATTGTGTGATGAGTCACTGCCGCGTTAAAAATCCTAAAATCATAACTTGTGTTCATTGACATGTTTAATAGTCTGTCAAAAGGCTGTAATTTAACTGTGTGTCTTTGCTCAGCTTTGGAGGCCTTGGTTTTATTCTGTCCCGCAGAGGTTGCTCTGAAGTGATCTTTATACATTCACAGATTGAAATAGATAACGCTGGCAAACCTTGCAGAGTACTGCTTTCTGTGATAGGTCTGAATCTAAAGGGCTGATGCTAAGCCTCATGAAACTCTGCTCCCTGAACTGCAAAGGCATGTTCAGAAATGTGCTGATTTTTGAAAGCTGTATTTCTGACCTCTTTGAATCATGGAGAGAACAGCTTGAATTTAGAAAGGCAAAAAACCCTTGGTAAATATTTGCTAAAAGCAAAATCTGAGGTTGGCCCTGGTTTGAAGGATTTCTGCCTATGTTTACAAGATGTTTCTGGTGTTTTTTTCCCCTCTGAAGTGAAAGCACTAATGAGTCACCTGCAGGAAATCTATGAATCACTTTGGCATCATAGATTTGGTGAGGAATTTAGCAGTCTACAGTGTACTTTCATCAGTGTTATGGAAAAACATGTGCTGTTCAACCATGCTTTAAACACCTTACATCAGCTCTTGATCGGGATTTCACTCTTGGTTTACTCTGTTCATGCTCTGTTTGACTGCTCCTGACTGGTAGTTCTATGCAGTTTACAAACATTGTTTTATTGATGTTGTTGGTATAAATTATGTATTTATAGACATGTGTATACACATATAGAAAAGAGTGAAAGTCTTGAAGACACTGAATTCTTGCTGTCTCCTTATCAGCAGAAAAAGGAATGGGACTGTTTTATGGGGTGAACACTATTATAATCATGTTGGCCTTGATAATACCCTGGGCAGTAATGCCAGACTCCGTAAGTTTTGGAGTTGTTACTAAAACTATTACTAGTTCTTATGCTGCTTCCCACCACCCTGCAGGAAAAAGCCTCCAAGGTATTTTGAGTGATATGTGGTTTGGAATCATCCTAACACAACTTTTGTGCACTTATGCTCCAAGACTCCATCACCTCTGCCTGCAAGAGTAAGGTGCTGTTAAGGTGTGTCCTACTTCTGGAGCTGTAACTAGAGGCAAATGAGCATGTTTGTTCTAAATGCCTTAGGAAATTAGTGTTACAGCACTGACTTTCATCTGTTGTGAATCAGCAGCTGAAGCAATGCCTCTTAAATGTTTTGCTTTTAGTGAGGGGCATGTCACCAAACAGTATGTCAGAGTATTGGAGGACAGATTTCAGGTTAGGTGTCTTAGTCTGATAGTGTGAAATCTTCCCTGAATCACAAATCATGAGGCCATCTAGTGTGTTATGTGTGCTTGCCTTACTCCTCAGAGACATTGCAGGAGTCATGTCGGAATTGCTTGTCAGAATTCCTGAGCTGCTGTTCGTCATTGTAGGCTGGAGAAGAGTGGTACCTTTGTTTGAAGTCTAATGCCTGTACATGCACAAGTGAAGGCCTTGGTGTAATGAACGGTGTAACGAATAATGCCACAGGTACCTGTAGATGGATTGGTAGGTGTAAGCCTACAGAATCGTCCTGATGCTGGCCCGAGTGTGAACTCGTGCTACTGAATTAAGTGTTTCATACAAAACTGGCTTCCTGAACTTCTGTACTATGTCTTAAGAACTGCCTGTCTGTTCTGGAAAATGAATTCCAGAGGAGGTAGTTGTAGCTTTAGGAATAAATCCATATTCCAAGTTACTTGTTAAGGAACCTCAAGCTGGTTTTTGACACTTCTTTAGCTGCAGTGGTTACTGAACTGTTTCTCCCCCTTGCTGGCTCATTCTGTTCCTTCTTTTCTGTACCCTTTCTCAGTTGTCAGCACAACGTATCTGTGGCGTATGTGACAAACCAGATGTTAGATCTGATCTGTATTAGCTGCAACCCAGCAAGAATGTATGCTTAAAAAAATCTTCAGCATTTAGTTCCCTGTTGCTGCTTGCTCCTTCTTGCAAAAGAGAATAGAAAGGACTAGGGTAGAGGGGTGGGCTGCTGTGAATCCTTCATCTGATTGAATATTATGTACAGTAGTCCATTTTTTTTCCTTGTTTCTGACTGTGAGGTAGGATTTTCAAACATATTTACCACAATTAAAATAAATCTGTAATTCAGGTGGATTTTTGTGCTCATATTTTAGCAGAG